CCTCCATCCCCCGCTATTTCAATTAACTCACAGGCACTTACAATTATCCCTCAAACATATTAAAACATACAGAACAGTAGTACCCAACACACATGCATAGTCCAATCTTGTAAAATAGTGATCTGATAGTGGTTGGATAAGTGCTGGAGGGGTTGTGTGTATAAGTGCATGGGGGCTGCTTGTGTGTTGTGTTTGTGTTGGGAAACTGCTTGTGAAGTTGCATGTTTGTGGGGATGCTAGTGGTGGTGTATGTTTATAGGGATGTTGATTGTGGGGATGCATGTGTGGGGGTCGTTGCTTGATGTGTTAGCATTTGTGAAGCTAGGCTGCTTGGGATGTTGCTTGTTTTTAGAGTTGCTGCTTCTAGGGTTGTGTACATGTGTGGGGATGTTACTTGTGGAGCTGTGTGAGTGGGGGGAGGCTGCTTGTGTGCTTGCGTGTGTGGAGAGTCGTGTGTGTCGGTAGGTCTGTTTGCGGTGTAGTATCTGTGTATTAAACAAAACAGATTTCTTGCGCTTCTGACAATATTGATAGGTAGGTAGGAAAACCCAGGCCAGAGTCTCTTCTTTATGTTAGTGATAAGATAATGAAAGGGTTGCAACATCTTGTGGATGTCCACCAGTCCAGATAGTGATTATTATTTTATTATTTATATAGCGCCAGCAAATTCCATAGTGCTGTACAATGGGGGGACTAACAGACACATAAATATAACCAGACAAGTGTACGCACAGGAACAGAGGGGCTGAGGGCCCTGCTCAATGAGCTTACATGCTAGAGGCAGGATAGAGTGACACAAAAGGTAAAAGTAGGGGTAACAAAATAGGTTGGTAGAAAAGTAATCACTGAGGTCGTAGTAGGTTATTTTTGACAGTTGCAGGAGAGGAGTCATGGGCAGTGCTGTATTTTCCGGAAAAAAACGGCGCCCCCAACTGCCCAGGAAAATGCCTTGTTAGCTTCGGGGCAGGTGGGTTGAGGTCCAGGACGGCGAGATCACATTCCGGCTCCCGGCATCACTCTGCGCTGCCTGCCTGGACCTCAACTGCCCTCCCGCCTGCCTGCACGCCTGCCCAAACAGCCCAGCCAGCAGCCCTACTGGACCCCAGGTAAAAATTCCACCCAGCTCTCCCAAAGGTAGGGAGGCTGGGTGGATTTTAATTAAAATTAAAAAAAATAATCTGTGAGTGTTGGGAGGTGGAATGTGTGTGTATGTGAGTATGTCTGTCTGTGTGTGTGTCTGTCAGTGTGTGTGTCTGTCAGTGTGTGTCAGTGAGTGAGTGAGTGTGTGTGTTGTGTCTGTGAGGGAGCCTGTGAGTCTGAGTGACTGTGTGTGTCTGTCAGTGTGTGTCTGTGAGTGAGTGAGTGTGTCTGTCAGTGAATGTGTGTTTGTGTCTGAGTGATTGTGTGTGTCTGTCAGTGTGAATCTGTCAGTCTGTGTGTGTCTGTGAGGGAGCCTGTGTGTCTGAGTGAGGAGATGGACAGAGTATAAGGACTGCTTTTATAGTCCTGATACTTTGTCCATCTACTCATTATTTTATCTGAATAGATTGGCAACAAAGTTTGATATAACCACTAACCTTGTTACTCCTACTCGCATCCTATACAGTCTGTATAATTTGCAGACCTTGAACATACCACTATATTTATACTTATGAGGTACCCACTATTTCACTAATCCATTTAGGATAATAACTCGTGGACCTCTAGTACATAATTGTGGTACCTGCAGATTCTTTATGGTCTGTATATTCCTCAGAACTTAACAACTAATATACCATTAATACGGTGGTCTCTATATTTCTATCTGATCCCTTCTACCTGATCATCACTATATGCTACATTGGACCCTGTATACAAAACTGTGGTATCTAGGACAGATCCACCCAGGCTTTTAAAGGTGTATCACAGTGTTTTCATTTAATCACTTTCTATACACAAGTTGGGTTTTCAGTGATTTAATACTTTTAGTTTATTTTGTTTACTTTTCGGCTCAATAATGGTTTATACCATTTATATGAAATTTTAACTTTAGGAGGTTTCTTTGAGTGTGAGTGGGTTCCACCTACCTCGAGTGAGTGGTTTTCCCACCCCATTCTTTCTTAATTTTCATATAGTGCAAAATTAATGATATATCCAAATAATGAAAATAAACTATTCTTTTTATATTGTAGGAGCGTCGGGACAGAAAAAAAATGTTTCTACTGATTTGATTTCAGTAAGGTATAATGTCTTAGTGAGTGGAAACAATCTCGAAATAAAGGCTCAACATTTGAGCATGCTTTTCAACTCTGTCATAATAATATTAAGAGATTCCATCATGCAAATAGTTCTTACTCACTGAAGCTACTTCTAAACCATAGAGGCGCATTACTGTCTGAAGAGAGCGAGAGCTTTATGAAAGATATTTGACAAAGAATAGGATTCTTTTCTAAGTCAATCTAACACCAAAAGGAGCTGCACTTTACATTATATTAAATATAAGCCTCTTGCAGGCTACGTCCAGCCGGCATGGCAGTCAGGCCCGCCCCAACCTGTTAACTTTGGTACAGCTATCACTTTGTAACATTAATTGGGATAATAACAAATAACAAAATTCAAACTAAAAGCTGCATTTTATGAAAAAAAGAAGTGTAAATCTGCTGCCGTACCCGCATTTTATAATTTGTTGCAGGGCTATTCATTATCTTCTGAAAATATAGCCATTTGATGTTAAGTAAATATCCAGCAATTTCAGCCAATTTGCAAGTCAGCCTTTGAAGAATCTGGGTTTTCTGTTCACAACCCATTGGGCTAGAAAACTGAATGGATGAATGAATTAATTAATTCATTCATTTTGGGCAGCTTGCAGGAAATGGTGTCGACATGCACAGACTAAAAAATAATTCAGCAAATAAATAAAAAATAATAAAACATAACAAAAAACACATAATTATCTCCTATGAACTATTCTGGATTCTTGGACTGTATATCACCATTACACTTTACTTACTACTTTTAGTGTCAAGAGCATAGGCACAGCCTTGGTAGTTCACCATGGTGCTAGCACTGCATTGATTCTCTTCATTGATAAGCCTATCCTACTTTATTCTCCAAATGAGGCTGGCAGATGTGAATTTTGGGCATTACATGTCTTGCGCACACTCAAGTGCTCTCAACAGCACTCAGTAATCATTGGTTCTTCAGTAATAAACGCATTTGATAATGGTGTTACAAAGCATACTTTGTATTATTACAAATAATTGCAAATTGAGGACGGCAGGAGGTGGAGGGTAAAACTGGGATGTGGGGATCGGATGACACTTGGGTGTAGGAGAAAAGGTATCATTGGGGATGGGAAGGAAATGCTGAAAAGCAGTTACTCTAAGAGACATCTAATTGTGGCAGTTTAGGGTCACAAGTATGTATGGGTTAATGCGGGCCATGGGGAAGCAGTCATTGAATATTATTGTAGGTTATTGCATTCAAGAATTACTGTCTGTAATATCAAACTCAATAAAATGTATTTTGACATGGAGTTGAACTAGACACTCCTCAGTTTTCTGAATTCTATAGCTCAGGTTCTTATGGAGTTACTAAATGAACTCTTTCAATTGTGTCCAGTTCATCACCCATACATTTCTTTCATGCTGTCTGGAATTTAAACTACATGTCAATTGCAGCTGTCTCCAGGTAACATCCGTTGCTCTGCCAGTGAGACCAGACTGCCTCTGATGTGCAATTTAAGCTCTTCATGCTGAGAAGATGAAAAGAAATCACGCACTGTATTAAATGTCCCTGCTGTCACACATTATATCACCAACTTTTTCATCTAGCTGGGAATATATATATATTTCATAACTATGCATCTAATCCAAAATCTAACTACAAAAGGAAAAAGTGGCATCAGCCAGCCCAACGTTCACAGTTAGGATATTTTAAACCAAAGTAGGTCCAACTTCACTGCTTCAAGGGCAATCTGCTCCACCGTGGTTTAGTGATCTGACATTGCTAATTGGCTTTAGCGGTCTATTCGTTAGGATTTTGATTGGTACAGCTTTTATGTGATATTTATATTCAACTATAATTAATATTCTCACGTTCACAAAGCATAGAGCTAATATTGTAAGCATTTAATACAGTAAAAGTCATACATTGGAACTTTTTCTTAAAGTCTCCTCAATAGGCCTGCCAGTAAATAAAAGATGCCCTTATCCACAAGAAAGGATGGAGAACTCATTAGCAATTTAATAAAAAATAAATTAAAAAAACCTTATTTTAAAAAAGAAGTACATAATAACAAAGAACAATATAGATAATGTTACGTCAAAGGCATATACATAGACAAAACGCCATACGTTAAGCACATAAATCCAATTGCTAAATATGGTCCCATGTTGAAGAATGTCTTTTGAGGACTTCTAAAACATAGCACCCAATGTTAAGCTTATGGCATATCTCATGAGCTAAATATATAATTAAGGTGGACCACTTTGCAATATATATATATATATATATATATATATATAAATCCAGCATAGAATGGCTGCTCACCGGTCTTTAAAACATAAATGCTTTATTAAATAAGATTAAAAATGACCAACGTTTCAGTCCTCAGGGTCAATAACAGGACAACCTGTCCTGTTATTGACCCTGAGGAAAGTCCCGATCAGGGACTGAAACGTTGGTCATTTTTTTATCCTTTTTAATAAAGCATTTATATTTTAAAGACCGGTGAGCAGCAATTCTATGCTGGATTTGTATTATTGGAGCCCAGGCTTTTGCACTCGGCAGTGAAGGAGTTCAAACGTGAGTGCAGGGGATTTTTTCCATATATATATATATAATTGTGTTCAAGGCATAAACGCCATAATGACAGTATATAACTTATACAATATAAACCAGATAGAAAATATTAATAGTTGGTTTTGGTGTGCTGAAACTGACGATGCCTTAGGCCTATAATTAAAGAGGGTCCACCCTGAGTATTATTGTTAATAAAGGGAGTGGTGGGGGGGCGGGGCATGGCCGCCGTTGGGATCAGACGTGCTTTGTCTGAGCTCCCACTCCGAGGCACAAATTGCAGGTTAATCGAGCCGGGCAAACTACACAGACGAACACACAGACCCCCGCCAGCTGCGGTGAGTGGAGATACCATCTAAGACCCAGTTCTGAGCCGGCAGTAACCCGACAGGGGTACGGAGCCTGGTGGGGCTTGAGCCGGGAGGAGACAGCCGCTCTCCTGGGTCTCCAGCCGGCGGTGTGCTCCCCCCACCCTCTGGACCGGATGGGTCATCCCGGTCTGCAGGAGCATAAACCGGTGCACCAACCCAAGCCTAAACAACAGCCCTGGTGAGGACAATCCGCTGGGCGACAACTCGCAAGATGGCCACCGCAAGCCAGCCATGTGCGCGGGCCGCCAATGGGGCCGACCTGAAGCTTACCTGAAAGCGAGGAAATTAACAGAGCACATGGGAAAAGGGCCCTCAATCCGCCAGCTTCCTACAGCGAAGCAGGGTTTATGGAGGCGGCAAATGAAATCCTGTTGCACCGTCATGGAAATGCCCGCAGTAGCACATACCACAACGACGCAGACCCTACCCTGACAGTGGGGACCACCCAAGAAGCCGAGATGGAGAGCAGCTGGGAAGAATACTGATCCACAGTCTGAAAATCTTGGGACTCACTTGCTAATCTCCCTGCTGTGGCCCACCTGTGGAATTGGGCGACAGCCAGAATAAGAAACTCCTGCTAACAAAGGGCAAGACCATCTCCAGTAACGTAATGACTCTCATCACTCTTAGTCCCTGCATCACCTTTCAGGATTCAGGGGTATTGATAGCCTATCTGCTCTAACAACACTTAACAAGGACTACCTTAACTAAGCAATCTAATCTCTTGGTGGCCTGGCATGTCTCCTAGCACTGTTTTTATTTTCTTATTCAGGCATTTAACCCATTGTGCCTGCTTAGTTCCCAGTTTAACATATTAAGCTAGCGAGTTGAAGTATGTATATCCTAGCCTATAATTAGACATTCTCCTGAATGCCACTAGGGATATATACCAAACGCAGACACCTCAGGTCTTACACTCAGGGCACCCACTGGTTTAAACATGCCTGCGTAACCTGTTTATTGATGTTGAACTCCTGCATTATTTGTGACATTACCAACCTAGACTCATACTATTTAAGCCTGTAAAGACATGTATTTTTGCGCAACGACCCATATATTTGTTTAAAAGCTAGCATTGTGCCAAGGGATCCTGCAAGTGACACAATCTGTCCTGCCTTGCACACATAGCGATGAAACCTGTTATATAAAAGCCACACGTCTATAATCCAAAGCGTACCTAGATATGCTTAAGTGTCCTAGCATGTTATATTATATAAGCGTTGCCCACTATCCTGTTATTTTTCACGATTAAACAAAAATGTGCTGATCAACCTGCAAAAAAAAAATTATTTTTTTTTTTAAATTAAAAAATAAAGGAAGTGGTGGGAGGGGTAAATCGCCAGACCAAGAATGGTAATGAGGAGGGGTCTGGTGATCCTTAAGTAGGGAAATCAAGCACCTCCCACAACTACAGGCCCAGCCTTCCATTTGTGTTCAGGGCATAGACTCCGTAATGACAGTATATAACTTATACAATATAAACCAGATAGAAAATATAAACAGTCGGTTATTTTGTGCCGAAACCGACAATGTTGTAGGCCTGTAAAGATCAAAAAAAACAATTTTTTTTAGAAATTGTTAAAACTGTGTGTAAACGATCTGAAGATATCTGCAATTTAATTTTAAAATCTTGAAATTTTTGAAGCTACCATTTATAAAATGTCACCCTGAATTAATAGTATGTTGAGTTGTGTTAAGCAGGCAGTTATCCATAGTAAAAAGCAATGCACAAGGAACTGGAAAATGTATGATGACATTGAGAAATAGCTAGTTTGTCATCATTAGAATTTTTCTTGCATAAAATGAATCAATCTATAAATGCAAAATGTTTTGAGTCATTGTGGCATTCACTGCTGACTAGACAGGGAATGCAGACTTCTGAAGTTTGGTCCACTAAACAGAGTAACATAGTACAAGGTTTCCCACATGTGACTGAATCAAGGCCGTTTAGGAAGTGAGTGAATGGGTCGGAAACTAGGATCGTCCCTATCCTTTTATAAGTAGCATAGGCAAGGCCTTGATTTAATCGCACATGGGAGGCTATTTATAATGCTTTTTATTCTCTCATTTTCTTCACAGAGTTTACTTCAAAAGTGCTGTTCCTTTTTCATTGTTCACATGTGCAATGTTCCTTTTTTATAAGCCAAGTTTGCTATATATGGGATTGGATTTACTGCCTAAAGTATCATTCACTTGGCATTCATGCGTTTCTTACAAAACCTGATTTTTTTATTTTATTTTCTAAATCAGAATAGACCTTTACATATGGATTTATTTCAACAACTGTTTGGGAATCTCTACAAATGTACATTTGTTAATTTAAATTTTTTATTTATCTGTTATATCATATTTTACATAAATATTTCAGGGCATACAATTCTAAAATTATGTAGTCTGCCTTACCTAGTAATATTTCAGACAGAGTATGAAATCCAAGCATAAAAGCAGCCTACATATACTAATATCAGATGATCTACACTATCTATCTTTTTTATTCAGATTTTTTTTCAAGAAGATTATTTGTTAACTATAATTCCGAGTGCACCACTGTTTGTTTAAATTGTGTATAGCTTTGTGGTGAGTGCTGCTGAATTTTACATTTAGTTTTTTATTGATTTTGGAAGTATTTATGCATAAGCGCTTTCCACTTTTTGGTTATTTATTTAGAGTGATAGCAAACTGCAGTCACCAGACCACCACGGTTCCTCTACTATACAAAACGTAGGAAACAAAACGGGCCGGATATATCATGGTGGAGTTAAGAGAATTCTTTTTATTTTAATTTTTTTGCACCAGGTTCCACAAATACCAGAGGTGGCCTGCCCTTGCCCATTTGACATCCTTTTATAAATATATGTTAAGGCTGTGGCCTGTAGTCGTGGTAGGGGTTACCAGGCCTATTTAAACACAGGCAACCCTCTTACCTGGGCAACTGAAGGTCATTTGGCCCACCCACCGCTTCCTATTTATTACATCATTAACCTGGTGGGCCCTTTTTATTTACAGGCCTACTCATACATCGGTTTGGGCACACCACAACCCACTTTGTACCATATCATGACTTTATGTCCCCGACCAAAATTATATATATACACATGGGGGGCATGTCTAGACATGGAGGAAGATGGTCGCTTGAGCCCTTAGCTCCCTACAAGCTCGGCAGAATGGTGTCTAAGTGTATTCCCCGACTGGTAAACTTGATAAATAACAGCGATGTCACATGCTAAAGCACGCAGGAACCAGGAGAAGACAGATAAACATAATTTCTTCCCCCAGAAGCAGACAACACAGCATGCTGTAGAATCGGGTCTACAAGATGGCACCGACCACTCTGGAGGGAGCCCTCTGCAGTCTGACAGACACAAATCCTGAGTCTGAACCCCTCATCACAGCCTTCCTACAAAAAGCACTGGACAAAAAATCCAGCAAGCTGATATCAATCTGGCAAGCCAGTGTGACCGAGATAAAGAAGGACGTACAGGATCTAGGCTCCCGCATGACACATGTAGAGACCAAAATGGAGGAGATCGTGGATGCCCACAACACAGCTGTGGGTCAAATTCAACATCTGACTGCACAGCTTGCGCAATGTGAAGCAGAAATTATCGTCCTCAAAGATCGGTCCAGACGCAGCAATATACGCCTGAGGGGGATCTCATTGTCCCTAAAATGCCATTGGACATGCTACATTTTGGACCTTCTAAACAGAGTCCCAAAACCCCAACATACTGTGGCCTCGCTGCCTCGAGATGTACTCCTATAAGCACATTATTTCCAAGTGAAGGAGCTCATCATGCAAAAAAGTAGAACATTGAAATATCTTCCAGCCGAATTCACATGAATTTGGATCTTTTCAGACTTCTCAGCAGCCATGCTACGCCAACGCAAGGCATACCAAAGGATCACAGAAACCCTATGCGAGAACAGTATCCAGATGGGGCTTTCCAGCTCATCTGATCATCTCTAGGAATGGGACTACTTCTGTTGTGCACTCAGCGGAAGAAGGCACCCATCTCCTACAACAATGGAAACTACAAACATGCGGTGAAACAACAACCTCCCAGTTCCAGTCACCCAAGAAAGTGACTAAGGATTAGTATCCAGCATGATCATATCATTACGGCTATTGCAAGTATACTCTGCTTCGGCAGAATCGAGATAGCTGCAACTATGATAGTCGCTTAGAATGTGATATGTTACCCTGTTTTTTTCCCGCATTGTTAGCATTATAAAAAACAACCTATACCCAGGGAAATACACCCTGTAAAGATTTGGTGCCATAGTTGATGTTCCAATAAGTTTCTAACACCATGTTTATATGCATAGTTCACTGTTATGTCCCTTATTGTGCACATGACACTATGACATTTAAAGCCGGCTCAGGCCACCTGCAATAACACCACTTCCAATTTCATGCCCCTCAGAGTACACGTTTGTTGTACCATATACCGTACTCGGGCCCTATTGTATATACTTTAGTTTAAGATTTTGTTCCCCCTTTAGATTTTACTCCAATGCCCTCCCTTTTTAACCCTTTTGCACACTCCAGCCATACACAACTAAGTATAACTGACCACACACACAAGTACCTGCCTTCATGTTATGCAAGTATAATTCATACCTTTTTATCTTGCACCAATGCCTTGAGACCTGTTCCCCTATGACTCACAGAATATTATCTTTGTATGTCAGCATTCCTGATTAGCCTCCACACTGAAAATATACTCCTATAATGTACATGTACACAAACGGCATATGATCCTACAGAAAGCACACAAAAGCGCAGGAGACGTTTTATGTCCCCAGGAGACGCATTTCCCTAAATCCCAAATCCTCCAATACGGCATGAAACACTTTCCTATCCAATTTCACTCTGCCCATATATCAAAATCGAGAAGTGTTTCTATTTATGTACACAAATCTGTTGCATTTGAATAGTTACAAAAAATATCTGATACGCAAGGCAGGTACCTGATTATTGTATGTTTAATGAACAATGTTATGTACACCATAGTTAATGTATATGCGCCTAATAAAAACCAGAGGAACTTCCTACATAAGGTATTAACTAAGGTGGCAGCTGCACAAAGGGGATTCACCATTATCTGTTGGGATATCAACCATGTCATAGACCCCAACTTAGACACTTTCATACTGAAGAACACTTCCAGGCACAGGCAACTCAAACCCCAATGTAAAGCGTTCAACCTATATGATTGCTGGCAGACACTACACCCCTCAGATAGGAGCTATCTATTACTAACAAACACACAAAACGTACTCTAGAATAGATGTTATACACCCTGTTCCAAATTATTATGCAAATTCTATTTAAGTGTCACAAAGATTAAATATTTTGTTTTTCAGTTTAACTCATGGATAGCATTGTGTCTCAGGGTTCTTTTGATCACTGAAAACAATCTCGGACACCTGTGATAATTAGATTGCCAGGTGAGCCCAATTTCAGGAAAAACTACTAAAGGAGGGTGTTCCACATTATTAAGCAGAGCACCATTTTCATGCAATATGGGGAAGAAAAAGGATCTCTCTGCTGCCGAAAAGAGTGAAATAGTTCTGCCTTGGACGAGGTATGAAAACATCAGATATTTCACGAAAACTTAAGCGTGATCATCGCACTATTAAGAGATTTGTGGCTGATTCAGAGCACAGACGGGTTTGTGCAGATAAAGGCACATTGAGGAAGATTTCTGCCAGATCCATGCATCGGATCAAGAGAGCAGCTGCTAAAATACCATTACATAGCAGCAAACAAATGGTGCCTCTGGAGTCCCATGGACATCAAGGTGTAGAGTCCTCCAGAGTCTTGCAACTGTGCATAAACCTTCTATTCGGCCACCACTAACCAATGCTCACAAGCAGAAACAGCTGCATTGGGCAGAAAAATACATAAAGACTAATTTTCAAACAGTCCTGTTCACTGATGAGTGCCGTGCAACCCTGGATGGTCCAGATGGATGGAATAGTGGATGGTTGGTGGACGGCCACCCTGTTCCAACAAGGCTGCAACGTCAGCAAGGCGGTGGTGGAGTCATGTTTTGGGCCGGAACCATGGGAAGAAAACTGGACGGCCCTTATAGGGTCCCCGAAGGTGTAAAGATGACCTCTGCAAAGTATGTGGAGTTTCTGACTGACCCTTTTTTCCCCTGGTACAGAAGGAAGAACTATGCTTTCCGTAATAAAATCATCATGCATGACAATGCACCATCTCATGCTGCAAAGAATACCTCTGCATCAATGGCTTCTATGGGGATAAAAGGAGAGAAAGTCATGGTGTGGCCTCCTTCCTCCCCTGACCTCAATCCTATTGAGAACCTTTGGAGCATCCTCAAGCAAAAGATCTATGAGGGTGGGAGGCAGTTTACATCCAAATAGCAGCACTGGGAGGCTATTCTGACATCTTACAAACAAATTCAAGCAGAAACTATCCAAAAACTCACAAGTTCAATGGATGCAAGACTTGTGATGCTGCTATCAATAAGGGGTCCTAAGTTAAAATGTAATGTGACCTGTTAAAATGTTTAAAACGTTAAAATGTTGTTATACAGTCAGGTCCATAAATATTGGGACATCAACACAATTCTAATCTTTTTGGCTCTATACACCACCACAATGGATTTGAAATGAAATGAACAAGATGTGCTTTAACTGCAGACTTTCAGCTTTAATTTGAGGGTATTTACATCCAAATCAGGTGAACGGTGTAGGAATTACAACAGTTTGTATATGTGCCTCCCACTTTTCAAGGGACCAAAAGTAATGGGACAATTGGCTGCTCAGCTGTTCCATGGCCAGGTGTGTATTATTCCCTCATTATCCCATTTACAAGGAGCAGATAAAAGGTCCAGAGTTCATTTCAAGTGTGCTATTTGTAATTGGAATGTTGCTGTCAACTCTCAATATGAGATCCAAAGAGCTGTCACTATCAGTGAATCAAGCCATCATTAGGCTGAAAAAACAAAACAAACCCATCAGAGAGATAGCAAAAACATTAGGTGTGGCCAAATCAACTGTTTGGAACATCCTTAAAAAGAAAGAACGCACTGGTGAGCTCAGCAACACCAAAAGACCCGGAAGACCACGGAAAACAACTGTGGTGGCTTACCAAAGAATTCTTTCCCTGGTGAAGAAAACACCCTTCACAACAGTTGGCCAGATCAAGAACACTCTCCAGGAGGTAGGTGTATGTGTGTCAAAGTCAACAATCAAGAGAAGACTTCACCAGAGTGAATACAGAGGGTTCACCACAAGATGTAAACCATTGGTGAGCCTCAAAAACAGGAAGGCCAGATTAAAAAAGCCTTGACAGTTCTGGAACAGCATCCTATGGACAGATGAGACCAAGATCAACTTGTACCAGAGTGATGGGAAGAGAAGAGTATGGAGTAGGAAAGGAACTGCTCATGATCCAAAGCATACCACCTCATCAGTGAAGCATGGTAGTGGTAGTGTCATGGCGTGGGCATGTATGGCTGCCAATGGAACTGGTTTTCTTGTATTTATTGATGATGTGACTGCTGACAAAAGCAGCAGGATGAATTCTGAAGTGTTTCGGGCAATATTATCTGCTCATATTCAGCAAAATGCTTCAGAACTCATTGGACGGCGCTTCACAGTGCAGATGGACACTGCAAAAGCAACCAAAGAGTTTTTTAAGGGAAAGAAGTGGAATGTTATGCAATGGCCAAGTCAATCACCTGAACTGAATCCGATTGAACATGCATTTCACTTGATGAAGACAAAACTGAAGGGAAAATGCCCCAAGAACAAGCAGGAACTGAAGAAAGTTGCAGTAGAGGCCTGGCAGAGCATCACCAGGGATGAAACCCAGTGCAACCATGTATTAAAAAGTGAAAGTTTGATTTATGACTGTTAATCTGTCCCATTACTTTTGGTCCCTTAAAAAGTGGGAGGCACATATACAAACTGTTGTAATTCCTACACTGTTCACCTGATTTGGATGTAAATACCTTCAAATTAAAGCTGAAAGTCTGCAGTTAAATCACATCTTGTTTGTTTCCTTTCAAACCCATTGTGTTGGTGTATAGAGCCAAAAAGATTAGAATTGTGTCGATGTCCCAATATTTATGGACCTGACTGTAAGTTTGATTGAAATAGCTTTTGATTTCAGTAAATTTGCTGCAAACACAACAAATGACAATTTTCAGTTCTTTACAACCTATAAAGTGTTTTGAAGCTTGGAACAGTGCATTGTAAGTGTTTTATGTTTAAAAAAAATACTGTTATCATTAGGAGGTTTGTTCAATAAAATTTGAATTGTACTCTTAATAGTCGATAACATGAGAATTATGCTGACTGTTATTTACATCAATTATTTAGGTAAACAAGAAAAATATCATTTGCATAATAATTTGGAACAGGGTGTACTCCTACAGGGAACCCTTTTAAATCAAATAGCATCCTGCAATATAGGAGACATCATCTGGTCAGACCATGCACAGATCCAGGACTTTAAGTTTCGGGTTTGTAACCCGTGCAGATTGAACACCACTGCTACAGAATAATACATTTTTTACAGAAGTTGAATCTGAACTCTCGACCCATTTCACCCTAGACAACTTGCCAGGGATGTCCACTTCCTCCGTTTGGCAGGCCCATAAAGCCAAAATACGTGGAGTTTTCATCAGACGAGTATTGTTCCTTGAAAAACAATCCCAGACAAAATTACTTGATCTCCTATGTACATTGCGAGAACTTACTGTATCCCAGTACCTAAACTCGACC